GCTCTACCACTTGAGCCACAGCGCCACTTCCGGCTTTTTTCTTTTTGCTTATGTGGTGCTGAGGAATCGAACCCAGGGCCTCTGGCATGCAAGGCATGCGCTCTACCACTGAGCCACCTTCCCAGCCCCCATGCTTAATCTTATAGAGATGGTTTTGTTTTGAACTGAATTATCAGAATCAAAATAATACAAGGTCCCTGGAAAGAAGGACAACTTCTGGCTTGTTCAACTATGTAATCACAGCCTCTGTTTGCGGTGGGGTGGTCCCTGGGAAACAGCAACTGAAGCATGTAAAATTAGAAGGTTTTATTAGAGTAAGAGTTACTAGACATGGGCTTATCATAATTAATGATATGTCAATTCAAAGAACTCGAGTCACTGTGGGTGGGCCTTCACTTGGTACATAGAAGTTTGGTTAAACTCTCCCTTTTTTGTTGTTGTTGTTGGTGGTGGTGGCACTGTCCCTGAGCTATTGGAGCTAAGAGTTTCAGGGACTTTCCTGTCCTGCTGGTTTTGAACCATGATCTTTAGATCTCAGCCTCTTGAGTAGCTAGGATTACAGGCATGAGTCACCAATTGCCCAGAACTCTTAACTATTTTGAGTGAACCTTTCCAGTCAATGACTTTCTGAATAGCAAGCCATGAGTCAGAGTAGGCAAGCATTCAAGTAGCCAGTTTTAGTGGGATGATGTTTTGTGTAATTCTAGTTACATGTACAAATATATTTGGATGACCTTACACTAAAGCCTTGTGTACAGATTCTCACCACACCTTTATTTCCTAATTTTTCTTGGACATTTTTTTCCCCCTTTGGAAGGCAGCCAGCCTCCCCAATCCTTTTCCATTTTCCAGAACAATCTGGTGATCTTCGTAGATCTTTTTGGGTCCGGACGTGGGGCCTGAACTCTGGGCCTGGGTGCTGTCCCTCAGCTCCTCCGCTCAAGGCTAGCACTCAACCACTTGAGCCACAGCGCCACTTCCAGCTTTTTTCTTTTTGCTTATGTGGTGCTGAGGAATCGAACCCAGGGCCGCATCCATGCAAGACAAGCACTCTACCACTGAGCCACCTTCCCAGCCCCCATAGATCTTCTCAGGAAGAAATTAATTCACACCAAATGCCAGTCTTGCTTAAAGATCAGTGAGTAGGTAAACATCAGGGACATCAGAGGGCTTAATCTTCCTTGTACAAAGGATGAGATTATGTATCTAAACCAAACTAATAAACAACTAGTCAGTACTGATAATCATCATTCTACTGCTGGTAAGAGTGTTTCAGATACATTGTTTTAAAGGAAACCTCATGGGGCTGGGAAGGTGGCTCAGTGGTAGAGTGCTTGCCTTGCATGCATGAGGCCCTGGGTTCGATTCCTCAGGACATATAAGCAGAAAAAGCTGGAAGTGGCGATGTGACTCAAGTGATAGAGCACTAGCTTTGAGCTGAAGAGCTGAAGGATAGCGCCCAGGCCCAGAGTTCAGGCCCCACGACCAGGAGGAAAAAAAAAAAAAGGAAACGTCATGATTGATGCAAACATCAATCATAATTTTATATCTGTCACTGGATGACAGATGAAAAATTTCCCTCAGCTTGCCATTTTCTATTTAAAATCCTAAGTCCCTGAGATCCACTCATGAAAAGCATTTTAAGGTGTCACAGCAAACAAGGAAAAAATCTCCCAAGGCAGAAGTCTTAAAAAGAATTTATTTTAGGACTGGGAAGGTGGCTCAGTGGTAGAGTGCTTGCCTTGCATGCATGAGGCCCTGGGTTCGATTCCTCAGCACCACATAAGCAAAAAGAAAAAAGCCGGAAATGGCATTGTGGCTCAAGTGGTAGAGTGCTAGCCTTGAGCTGAAGAGCTGAGGGACAGCGCCCAGGCCCAGAGTTCAGGCCCCACGACTGGACCCCCTTCCCCCCCAAAAAATTATTTTAATATAGTAGTATAAAGTAGGGAGAGATAGAAAAGAGGGAGAAACAGTCCTACATATACAGAAATTAGGAGTAAAGGATTCAAATCTGTGGTCTTTTTGCTTTCTGTATTGGGAGAATAAACCCAAACCCTTAGAGAGTGGTTTTGGTTGGGTATTGTTTTATTGCCATCCTAGGACTTGAACTCTGGGTCTGGACACTGTCTCTGAGCTGCTTTTGCTCAAGGCTAGTATTCTACCACTTGAGCCACAATACCTGGCCTTTTCTGTTTATATGATATTGTGGAATTGAACCCAGGGCTAGCACTCTACCACTAAGATAGATGTTTTCTTTTCCCTACCCCACCCCCCAGTAAGCAAATAATTGGTTCTGTTGTGAACCCTATTTGGATAATCCCCTATACCTGAAGATGGTGTCAGGTCCTACATGTTAAGTGCTCAGTCCCTAACTGCCCCAATTGTGAACCCCAGGTCATTTCACTCTGTACTTCTGACCAACTGGCTATAAATCCCATGATCTCTTCTTGCTGATTTGTTAATTTACTTAAGTGCCTCACAAAACTTAATTTTTTTTTTTTTTTGTCGGTTGTGGGGCTTGAACTCTGGGCCTGGGTGCTGTCTCTCAGCTCTTCAGCTCAAGGCGAGCGCTCTACCACTTGAGCTACAGCGCCACTTCCGGTTTTCTGGTGGTTTATTGGAGATAGGAGTCTCACAGTCTCTCCTGCCCGGGCTGGCTTTGAACTGCGATCCTCAGATCTCAGCCTCCTGAGTAGCTAGGATTACAGGCGTGAGCCACCAGCGCCCGGCCAAAACTTAATTTTTTAAAGTCTTAATGACCACATAAATATCAGAGGAACAGTGCCACTGTCTCTCAGCGGAGCGCCTTTGAGCTCAATTCTCAGAAGAGATCTTTTGACATTGAAAAGAAATGGTCCTCTAATTATTTTTCAATGTGTTCAGCCATCTTCTTATAAAAGCCAAGCATCTTGTTTGTGTGGTTCATGTTTCCATACATTTTGAGAAATGTCCTCTGTATTTCTGAGCAGCACATTTCCTTTCTTTTTTTTGGGGGGGAGGAGCAGTCCTGGGCTTGAACTCAGTGCATGGGCACTGTCTCTTCTTTTGCACAAGGCTAGCACTCTACCATTTGAGCCAGTGTCACTTCTGGCTTTTTCTGTTTATGTGGTACTAAGGAATCGAACCTAGGGCTTCATGCATGGTAGACAAGCACTCGACCACTAAGTCACATTCCCAGCCCAGCACATTTCCTTTTTTTGTTGTTGGTCCTGGGACCTGAGCTCAGCCTGGGTGCCGGCCCTTAGCTCTTCAGCTCAAGGTTAGCGCTCTACTATTTGAGCCACACCACCACTTCCGGCTTTTTCTGCTTATGTGGTGCTAAGGAATCGAACCCAGAGCCTCATTCATGCAAGGCAAGCACTCTACCACTGAGCCACCTTCCCAGCCCTACAAGATGGATTTCATAATGGTATTTCCACACATATATACGATGTTTTCTGATCAACCTCACCTCCTTCATCACTCTCTTCCATCCCACTTTCTCTTCTTAAAACAATTCAACAGGCTTCATTGTTCTACTTTCAAACATGTAAAGGACTTCCACTATATTCCTCCTCATTTACCCTCTATCAGCCCTTCCCCATATTTCCTCCTGAATGAGTTTTCTCAAGAGTTTTTTCTGTTGTTTTCTTCTGCAGTTCTCTTGTTCTATGATTGCTTTTAAGATAGTTTTTCACCTAGTCCCTTGAGGTTGTAAGGATTCGGTTGTGTCCTCAAGTAACTCTTATCTCCTTAAAGGCTAGCATTGTCTGTCCTTGAGGTGTAAATTTATAGGGCCCATGTTTGTCCTTTTTGAGGAAGTTGCTGTGACCTCACTTGAAGATCTGTTCAGATTTTTCTGAAGTAACATCTCCAAGGTGACCTTAAAATGTCATTGGCTTGTGTGTACCTCTGTTTTTTTTTTTTTTTGGCCAATCATTTCGCCCCATCTCAAAAATCTTAACATTTCATGAATGTTCTTTGGATCTATATTGTCCCCAAGCAATGTACATGTTCCTGAATAGGAACAACTCTCCTTAGGGGTTGATACAGTGACTTGGGCTTTTTTCCTTGTATGGCCCCTGCCAATGTCAGCTCAGGGCTCCCAAGGTTTCCCTGGTCTTCCAATTATCATCTTTAGATCACCTCTGCAGAGGAGAAGGGCCTGCTTTGGGCCAAATTTGCTGTTTTCTTCTTCAGACTACACCTGCTCTCCTAGTATCTTCCTGGCAAACAGGCTTCCAGGCTTCTTTTCCACACTTGGGACTTGGCATGAATGGATGGAAAGAACCATTCCCTCTGTCTTGAAGGGAAAGAACAGAGCCATCAGCAATGTCCATTTTGGGAGGGGGGGGGTCATGGTGCTTGAACTCTGGGCCTGGGCGCTGTCCCTCAGCTCTTCAGCTCAAGGCTAGTGCTCTACCACTTGAGCCACAGCGCCACTTCCAGCTTTTTTCTGCTTATGTGGTTCTGAGGAATCGAACCCAGGGTCTCATGCAAGCAAGGCAAGCATTCTACCACTGAGCCACCTTCCCAGCCCCGAGCAGCAGCATCCATTCTGGGGATCCTTTAGGTCACAGGACTCTCATACCTTGGAATCCAGAGATTCTGACCAGGCTTAGAAGTGAGGGAAGAAAGTCCAGATGCCTAAAGTGATCTTGGCTTCTTTATTTATAAGCCATATATTTATTTAAAAATGGGAAAGACTAGACATGCGCTAGTGGCCCATGCCTGTAATCATAGCTACTCAGGAGGCTGAGATCTGAGGATAACTATTAGAAAAGTCTGTGAGAAGGGGGAGGCTGGGAAGGGATGGGAAGGAGAAACAAAGGAGGAGGCTACAATGCTTGATAAGAACTGTACTCATTATCTTGCCCATGTAATTGTAACCCCTCTGTACAGTATTTTCACAATAAAAAAAAAAAAGAAAAGTCTGTGAGACTCTTGTCTCCAAATATAACCACTCAGAAAAAGCCAGAAGTGGTACCGTGGCTCAAGTGGTAGAATGCTAGATTTTAGCAAAATGAAGTTCAGACAATACACACCCAGGCCCTGAGTTCAAGTACCAGGACTAGCACAAAAAAAAGGCGGAGGAGGCAATCTGAAAGTGTGTTTCTGAATGTAAATAATCTAGCCTCAGTGGGAGAAAGATGCCAGAGATACTGGTGAGATATCATTGGTGCAGTTAACAGGAACACAGCCCACAGTATTTAAAGTGAAGCCAGGATCTCTGGTGGCATATGAGTGGCCTAGGAGAGAGACTACAGGAGCTAAAAGGTCCTGGAACTGCAAGCTTCCAAGGGTCCACCTTTTCTGTCTTGTCTCCAAGTCAGGAAAAGGAGGCTCTTGGTATCAGTGGTGTGTCCCCCTCTCTAGTTTCTCTGGTAGAAACTTGCCAGCCAGTGTCTGAAATCTAGATTTTGAAAACAGAGCTTAAAAAGAAGTTTTAGAGGTATTATTTGCTGACCTTTTTTATGTGTGATGGCTGGTTTGGGGATTTGAACTCAAGGTTTAGGTGCTGTCCTTGAGCTTCTTTTGTTCAAGGCTAGTGCTCTACCACTTAAGTCACAGCTCTACTTCCAGCTTTTTTGGTAGTTGATTGGAGATAAGAGTCTCACACACTTTCCTGTTAGCCTCCTGGTAGCTAGTAGCTAGGATTTCAGGCATGAGCCACCAGCACCCAGTTTCTGCTGGCCTTTAAGGGTAGCCTTTTAGCTTTTTATAACCTGGATATCATCTGTGGGGTGGGGATCAGGGGGGAGAAATGCATGCTTGCACTGTGTCAATACTGGGGGGCTTGAACTCCGGTCCTCACCAGTGCCCAGCTCACTTCCTGCTTTTTGATGGTTAATTAAAAATAATAGTCTCAGGATTTGTCTGCCTGGCTGGCTGCAAACCTAAATCTTCAGATCTCAGCCTCCTATAACTAGGATTATAGGTATGAGGTGAACTAAAAGACAAAAAAAAAAATATTTGTTTTCAAAGTTCTTATCAGTTTGTAGAAATGATGGCTGGTTTCTTAGAAAAGTACTGGTTTAAAGAGTACAAAGAAGAGCCAGGTACCGGTGGCTCATGTCTGTAATCCTAGCTACTCCGGAGGCTGAGATCTGAGGATCACAGTTCAAAGCCAGCCCAGGCAAAAAAGTCCGTGAGACTCTTATCTCCAATTAAACATTAGAATGGGCTGGGAAGGTGGCTCAGTGGTAGAGCGCTTGCCTTGCATGCCTGAGGCCCTGGGTTCGATTCCTCAGCACCACATAAGCAAAAAGAAAAAAGCTGGAAGTGGTGCTGTGGCTCAAGTGGTAGAGCTCTAGCCTTGAGCTGAAGAGCTGAGGGACAGCGCCCAGGCCCAGAGTTCAGGCCCCAGGACTGGACCCCCCCAAAAAAACTGGAAGTGGTGCTGTGGCTCAAGCGGTAGAACACTCACCTTGAGCTGAAGAGCACAGGGATAGTGCCCAAGCCCAGAGTTCAAGCCCCACAACCAAAAAAAAAAAAAAAAAAGAATACAAAGAAGTCTTTCTCATGATTTACATTTTCTTTCCCAGTTGGTCAAGATACACTATTAAGTTGGGGTGGCTGTTTTCAGGCCCCTGGGAGCCTTCTTCATGGAAGTACACTTTGTGTTCCCAAGTAAATTAAATTAAATGTTGGCAACACCACTTTTCTGCTCTAGTTCAGCTTCCCTAAAGCCACGCTGTCTGCTTCTAACCCTTGAAGAAAAGATCTCCAAATTTCTTGAAGTCTGCGATTTGTCAAGGGCTGCTCCTTACGACTGGAATGTCAGCAAACAGCATGCCACTGATTTGTGACCCCTCCTCCCACAAACATTTAATAAAGCAGAAAATATAATCATGTGTTATATAAACTTCCCTGTTTTCAATTTTAGGTATATTTTTGTATAACAGGCATCCAATAAGACAGGTAGATGTTGTGGGAACTGTCGTGAGAGTGAGAGAACGAGATGCTTTCTACAGTTACGGAGGTAAGAACAATTGTGTCTGAAACTGAGTTTATGTGTAAGGTTCTCACATAGCTGAAATTTGAGTATATAAATCGGCACTGTCCCTGAGTCTCTCTGTGCTCAAGGCTTGAACCACAGTGCCACTTCTGGCTTTTTCTGTTTATGTGATACTGAGGAATTGAACCCAGGGCTTCATGCATGCTAGGCAAGCACTCTACCACTATGCCACATTCCCAGCCCTGTGCTGCAATTCTTCTACCTATATCCTCCCATGTAGCTGGGATTATAAACATGTTCCACCACACTTGCTTATTTGTTGAGATGGAGATCTCACTAAAATGTTTGCCCAGGTTGGCCTTAACCACAGTCCTCTCAATCTCTGCCTCCCAAGTAGTTAAGATTACAGGGATATACCATCAGATCTGCCTGCTTCAGTGTTTGTTGTTGGTTTTTTTTGTTGTTGTTGTTGTTTTGGGCCAGTCCTGGGGTTTGAACTCAGGGCCTGAGCTCTGTCCCTGAAACTCTCTGTGCTCAGGGCTAGTGCTCTACCACTTGAGTCACAGCACCACTTCCAGCTTTTTCTGTTTATGTGGTAGTGAGGAATCAAACCCAGGGCTTCATGCATGCTAGGCAAGCATTCTACCACTAAGTCATATTCCCAGCCTTTCAGTGTTTATTTTACCAAAGATATTGGTACTATTTTTCTCGAACATAACAAACATTAGCTAAGTTCCAACAGCATAGCCACCTGTGGGCAAGTAGGTTGTAGTACAATAGAGTACATCCTTTCTGAATACCAGTGAGGAAATTATCATGTATTTCAGTTTATGAAGCACTTTTACATTTATTACTTCATGTTATTCTTTCTCTAATCTTTTAAAGTAGAAAAGACAGATGCTATCTATTTCTGTTTTGTAATCGAGAAAACTTAAGCCCTTGTAACTTGCTCCAGTGGAGCTCCACTGGGAGAGGTATGGGCCCAATCTACTGTTTACCAACCCCAGCTTGTTCTACTGTCAGCAGGCTGTTCTTTCCTTGTCACTTTCCTCTTACCCCAAATTAGCTAGATCTGGATTTGAGTTTTCTCATTTTTACTTCGAATAAATAAGGCTGTTGTGGCCTCCAGGGTTGGCCCTAGAACCAGATCAGAATTAGGCCTGTGATCTAACAGGGCTGCATTTAATCCCTTTGCCCATCAGGAAAAGACTTAAGAAGATCTATTTGCTCTGCAAGAAGTTTTTCCCTCTGAGTGGGTGGTGTGAGAATGACACATCTGTGGGCTGCGGGAGATGGCCATATGGAAGTCATTGAGAGCAGAAATGCATTTGTGACCTCATTCTTGTGTGGCCTGCTCAAGGGGAGAGCTGCTTCTCTCTCTGCTTCCTCAGGCCACCTGCCAGCTGGCCACCCCCTGCTGTCAAGAGGCCTGCTCCTCTGACCATCAGAGGCCCATGCTGGGTGCTTCTGCTCACACTGACTTGTGCCATAGCCTTGTAGGAAAGGACATGATAGTGTACTGCAAGGATGCTCCTCTTCTCTGGCGCATGTAGATAGAAGTCAAGTCAGCAGCAGCCTCACGGACCATGGCACAGAGTTTGCTGGCAGGGGCTGCAAATCAAGGAGGTTGAACAGTGCCCATGGCTCACAGAGCACCTGGTAGCAACTCCACCTCTGACTTGAGTCTTGGGAGCTCCAGTCAAGACCAGAACAACCTCACATTTCCCAAGACAAGTGTTTATCTGCTCTCTTTCTTTTGACTTTCCATTATAAATTAAGATAAGATCCGCAGTTAACAAGAGATGAAATGGTAGGCCTAGAGGGGTTATCCTTTTTTTAGTGCCTAAGTTTTGTAAGAGTTTCTTAGATTTGTCTCTGGGCCTGCCTTCAAACCGCAATTCTTAGATCTCAGCCTCCTGAGTAGCTAAGATTACAGGTATGAGCCACCAGTGCTGGGTCTTGATTTTTGGGGGGGGGGAGAGGGAGGGAGGGTTGTTTATTGGAGATAAGATGTCTCACAGACTTTACTGCCAGGGCTAGCTTCAAACTACAATCCTCAGATCTCAGCCTCCTGGTGGCTCAGACCTTATTTACAGTTATAAGTCCTAGTGCAATGGGAATTGTTGTGTTTTTTTTAAGGAATAAAATAAGCCACAGCAATATTATTTTGTGGCCAGAATAAAAAAATTATAAAAAGTAAAGTATGCTCTTCTGTGATGTGCTTGGCTTTCCTTAAATCACTGTTATGAGTAAGGTCTTATGAGAAGCTCTTTAACAAAGAAGCCCAAAGAGGGGCTGGGAAGGTGACTCAGTGGTAGAGTGCATGCCTTGCATGCCAGAGGCCCTGGGTTCGATTCCTCAGCACCACATACACAAAAAGAAAAAAAAGCCGGAAGTGGTGCTGTGGCTCAAGTGGTAGAGCGCTAGCCTTGAGCTGAAGAGCTGAGAGACAGCACCCAGGCCCAGAGTTCAGGCCCCATGACTGGACCCAAAAAAACAAACAAACAAAAAGAAGCCCAAAGAATGAGGATCACTTTGTCTTGGGAAGTGGTAACAGAAGCTGAGCCTTTAGTGCCCTTGCATCTGCACTATGGACCCTGTGATGCTACCTTGTTCTAGGGTGAGAGAGAAGGCTGGGTTTTTTTTTTTGTTGTTGTTGTTGTTGTTGTTGTTTCTAGTCCTAGAGCTTAAACTTGGGGCCTGGACACTGTCACTGAGCTTCTTTTGCTCAAGGCTAACATTCTACCACTTGAGCCACAGCCCCACTTCTGGCTTTTTCTGTTTATATAGTACTAAGAAATTGAAGTCAGGGCATGAATTCATGCATGCTAGGCAAGGACTCTACCACTAAGCCACATTGAGTCTTGGATCTAGCTTCCCGAGGAGGTCACTTTTAGCAGGGCAACGAAGGTAGGGTGAGGGAAATGTCCAAGGCATTCTATTGAGGTAGTGTGTCATACTGACATACAAAGACACATGATTTATGCTGCTGTATAGTGAAGACTGTTTCCAAAGATAAGAGGGAGAGTTTGATAAGAGAATGGCCCCTGCTAGGCTGTTGGAAAAGGTCATCATTCAGTGTGGCCAAATGCAATGATATGTGAGTTCACATGTGATTCTTCTCCCTTTCTCGCTTCTCTTGCAGTGGATGACAGCACTGGAGTTATAAACTGCATCTGCTGGAAAAAGCTGAGCAATAGTGAGTCTTCAGCAGGTAATTTCACTTGCTATCTTGCTTTGCTTTCCATCTAATCAATATATCCAAAGTACAGTAACTCGCTCTGAAAACTGGCACCGACAGTTACTTCTCTCCTTCCCATTTCTTTATTTTATTCTGTTGCAAAGGTGTTATACAGAGGGGTTACAGTTAAGTAACTATAAGTAAGTTAAGTAAGGTAATGAGTACATTTCTTGCCAAACATTGTTACCCCCTCTGCTTCTCTCCCACTTTCCCTCCCCTCAACACTCTCCCCATGTTGTAAAGATGATTTCCAATGTAGTGTCTTTGAATATGGCAGTTGAATTGGTTCACCCTTTGTCCTTTTTCTCACCATTTTGTTGTTCTCCTTCCCTTCCCCAAAGCAGATAAATGTATACAGAAAACACAGGGTACCCAAATGTTTACAAACAAGATCATACTAAAGCTACCAGCACGACTATGTTTATTGCAGCATTATTTACTATAGGTAAAATATGGAACCAACCCAGATGCCCCTCAGTAGATGAATGGATCAAGAAAATGTGGTATATATACACAATGGAATTCTATGCCTTCATCAGAAAGAATGACATTGCCCCATTTGTTAGGAAATGGAAAGGCTTGGAAAAAATTATATTAAGTGAAGGAAGCCAGGCCCAAAGAAACATAGGTCCCATGGTTTCCCTTATTTGCAATAACTAGTACTGAGTCAAGCAGAAAAGGTCAGATAAGGTGATGTTAGGGAAATGAACCCTAAGATATGTATTCAAATGTTTTTTTTTCTTTCATAGATTATTTCTTTGTTGCTTTGTATGTCCCTCCCCCACAGTATAACCCCTGCTTTCACTGTATTTGATGTCGGTATAATTTGTGGAGGGGAAGGGGAAAACAAATTGTTTAAATAGGGATATAGGTGGACCCATTGCAACAATGAGATGTACAAGTCATTATGTCGAAAACGAACTTTACAACTTTGGTGCAGGTGGGAGGGAGAGGGGGAGGGGGGTGGGAGGATTGGGTGGGGGGGCGGGGGGGAGGATGGGAAGGAATGGGAAGGGGAAACAAAGGAGGAGGCTACAGTGCTTGATAAGAAATGTACTTGCCCATGTAATTGTAACCCCTCTGTACAGTATTTTCACAATAAAAAAAAGAAAAGAAAAGAAAACACAGGGTACCAAAATGAAAACAGTTGACAACAGGGGATAAAACCAAAGGGAAAAAAATGAAAAAAAAGAAATAACTTCACACAGTACATTTTAAAAAACATTCTGGAAAGCAGTATGGAGGTTCCTCAGAGACTAAACAGAGTTCCCCTATGATCCAGCAATCCCTCTCCTGGGCATTTACCCAAATGATCACATACAAGTTGTGGCCTTGTATGTGTTCATTGCAGCATTATTTACCATTGCTAAGATATGGAACCACCCCAGAAGCCCCTCAGTAGATGAATGGATCAAGAAAATGTGATAAATATTCACAATGGAATTCTAGTAGAAAGAATGGCATTACCTCATTTATAAGGATATGGAAAGACTTGGAAAAAAATCATGTTAAGTAAGCCAGACCCAAAGAAACATAGGCTACTTGGTTTCCCTGATTATTTGTAATAATCAGTATATGTCTAGGGTAGTCCTAGCAGAGGATCACAATAGCTCAATAGTTATGTACATATGACCATATAAAATGATGCTAATTGAAATGAACTCCCATTTCTTTATTGCCTACTTTCTGCTATGTCTATGTGACTATGGAATGGTTCTTTAGCAATTCATTTTACCATACCACTTATTTTGTAAATCAAGAGATCTTAACCTTCTGGGTGCCAGTGGCTCATACTTCTATTCCTGGCTCTTCAGTAGGCTGAGATCTGAGGATTTCAGTCAAAGCCAACTGGGACAGAAAAGTCCATGAAACTCTCAGCCCCAATTAATCAGAAGTGGAGCTGTGGTTCAAATGGTAGAGTGTCAACTGTTGACAAAAAAGCTAAGGGAGGCTGGGAATGTGGCTTAGTGGTAGAGTGTTTACCTAGCATGCATGAAACCCTGTGTTTGATTCTTCAGTACCAGATAAGCAGAAAAAGCCAGAAGTGGCGCTGTGGCTCAAGTGGTAGTGTGCTAGCCTTGAGCAAAAGAAGCTCAGGGACAGTGCCCAGGCCCTGAGTTCAAACCCCAGAACTGGAAAAAAAAAAAAAAAAAGCTAAGGGAAAACTCCCAGGCCCTAAGTTCAAACCCCAGTATGGACATGCATTGTGGTTTGCAGACCAGTATTTGGATTGTTTTACTTTTCTAACTTTACTCTTTTTAAAGAAATGGCATCACTGGGTGCCATTGGCTCATCCCTATAATCTTAGCTACTCAGGAGGCTGAGATCTGAGGATCGCAGTTCAAAGCCAGCCCAGGCAGGAAACAACTCTATGAGACTCTTAACTCCAATAAACCACTCAAAAAAGTTGGATGTGGCAGTATGGCTTAAGTGGTAGAACGCTGACCTTGAGTGAAAGAAGCTCGGAAACAGCGTCTAGACCCAGAGTTCAAGCCCCAGGAACATCAAAAAAGGAAAAAGAAAAAAGGAAAAAAAAAAAAAGGAAGAGGCAGCAGCGGCATTATCAGAAGTATTCTTAAAAAAAAAAAAGAAATATTCTATAATTACTATATTTAGTAATACTGAAGATCACCTAGATAGAAATTGGTCTTGAGCCTACTAAAAAGAGGAAGTTTGAAATACCAGAGAAGCTTAACTTAAAAGTGCTTTGCCTATATAAAGAGAGGTTAAGAGTACCAGGAGAAAGCCTGAAAATGATGCTCATTATGTTACACATGCAGGAATGTTTTTAATTGTTCCCAACTTGCCCATTCTCTTCCTTTTAATTTAATTGCCCTGAGAAGTGGCCAACTGAGACAAATTTTTTAAACAAAATTTAATCTGAAGTGAAATCATACTCCAGTCAGTGAAAATATAAGTATATAATGTTAACTTCTATAAATGTCACATTGAATATATCATTTGGTTGTAACTTATGAGCAAAGTTAAGAAAGCTTAGTCCTCACTATTAGAATGTTAAGGGGGATTTATCTTTCAGGATGGAATAGACTGCTTAAATTAAAGTTGTCAGGCTCCAGCCGTCTCATTACATTCATTAAATTACACACTGGAGCCTTCCTTTCAGCAGTTAGACTCACCCTTTAAATGAAATCTGGGCTGCTTCTCAACCAGCCATCAGCCTGGTAATTTCAGTAGTGCTGTATGAAGTGTTTATTATCACCTATAATGTCTGTATAATGGCAATGAGGTTTATAAATACCTTTAACATAAGAAGAAGAGGGCTTTGGGACAGGAAGGCAAGTAGAGCAACCTTTTAGTCAGTGATTCTTAGGTCTTACAGGAAGAAACTTAGTAAGCTGTGCAGGCTAAATGTGGTTGCATCTAGTTTCTGGGTGTTGGTTACTGGATATACTGAGTTTCCTATATTGCTGTTTCTCTTGGTCTAGAAAATGTGTTACAATTAATGCTGTTCCTGTTGCACTTATGGTTCATGCTTGTAATCCTAGCTACTCAGGAGGCTGAGATCCTAGGATCTCAGTTTAAAGCCAGGTTGAGCACAAAAGTTCATGAGACTCTTATGTCCAATTAACCACCAAAAGCCAGAAGTGGAGCTATGGCTCAAGTACTAAAGCCTTGGGACAGGGCCCAGGCCCGAATTCAAGCCCCAGGATTGGAAAAAAGAGAAAAAAAGGAAGGAAGGAAGGGAGGGAGGGAGGGAAGGAGGGAGGAAGAGAAGGAAGGAAGGGAAGGAAGGAAGGAAAAAGGGAAAGAGGGAGGGAAGGAAGGAGAGAGAGAGAATATAGAAGGCAAACTGGAAATTATATGATAGTAGGAAATAAGCCAGCATTTTAAAAATATCTCTTTTTCTTTTCTTTCTTTTTTTTTTTCTGGGGTCCAGTCGTGGGCCTGAACTTTGGGCCTGGGCACTGTCCTTCAGCTCTTTACCTCAAGGCTAGCGCTCTATCACTTGAGCCACAGTGCCACTTCCGGCTTTTTTTTTCTGCTTATGTGGTACTGAGAAATTGAACCCAGGGCATGCAAGACAAGCACTCTACCACTGAGCCACCTTCCCAGCCCCTAAAAAATATTATCTCAAGTAGATTATATTCACAAAGAGTTCACTTTGAACCTTGTCTTGTAACTTACATAAAACAACTCACAGTGGATAGAGTTGTATGTCCTAATAAGCACATTAAAGCCAGGTGCTTGTGTCTCATGAGAGTAATCCTAGCTACTCAGGAGGCTGAGATCTGAGGATTCTAGTTGAGAGCCAGCCCAGGCTAGAAAGTCCATGAGACTCTTTAACTAATTTAAAAACAAAAAAAAGCCAAGAGTGGAGCTGTGGCTCAGGAGGTAGAAGCCTAGCATTGAGCAAAAAAGCACCCCGGGGGCTGGGAAGGTGGCTAAGTGGTACAGTGCTTGCCTTGCATGCCTGAGGCCCTGGGTTTGA